TTAGAAACTATGTAATCACTTAATCACAATCAAAAAAAAAAAAGAACTTCGGGGAAGGGAGGGAGGGAGGGGATGGTAGGGGGAAAACAATGGAGGGGCTAACAATGTTCAAGAGGAAGTGTACTCATTACCTCACTCATGTAACTGTAACCCTCTGTATAGTATCTTTACAATAAAAAAAACTTAAAATAAAAGATATGTACTCTTACTTGACTTATGAACTGTAATCCCTCTGTATATCACCTTTATAATAACAATTTTTAAAGGGGAATAAAAGATCCTTACATCCTTAACATCTTAAACAAACCAAGGTCAGAGCTTCTGGATGGCCTCAAACCAGGACAGCAAGGAGCTTTGGCAGCTTACTCATTCCAACCCACCTGGACCAAGTTAGGGAGGGAAAATTACACAAAAAGTTCCAAAAACAAAACAAAAAAAATGGCTGAGTACTGGTGGCTCACACTTGTAATCCTAGCTATTCAGGAGGCTGTGATTTGAAGCCAGCACAGGCAGGAAAGTCCATAAGACTCTTATCTACAATAAATTACAAAAAAAGTTAGAAGTGGAGCTGTGGCTCAAGTGGTGGAGTGCTAGCCTTGAGCAAAAAGTTCAGAGACAGTGCCCAGGGCCGAAGTTCAAACCCAAGAACCAAGGAGGAAAAAAGTTCCCAGCTAGGCACCAGTAGCTCCTAGCTACTCTGGAGGCTGAGATCTGAGGATCACAGTTCATAGCCAGCCCAATCAAGAAAGGCTATAAGACTTTTATCGCCAATAAAACTACTCATAAATAGCTGGAAGTGGCGCCATGGCTCAAGTGGTAGAGCACTAGCCTTGAGCAAAAGAAGCTCAGGGATGGTGTCCAGGCCCTGAGTTCAAGCCCCAGGACAGGCAAAAAACAAAAGTTCCCAGAAGATCCCACTTACAGCTTGCTCTGAAACCTCATAGTGTGTCAAGTTAGAGAGAAAGGAAAATGCATGATTCTGGAAAACTGTGTTTTTCTTTTTTTCAGATTTCCTGTCATTCCATAAAGTAGGAACTGGGTCCTATAGAAAGCAGGGCTAGGAAAGTAGTAGCCGCATCATGAAGAAGCAGGGAAAGAGGAAAGGGATAGGGAAACAAAGGACGCCATCCCTCATCCCCTAATCTCCCATCCCCGACTACCTTCCTAGGGGGCTAGAGGTAAGACTGACCACCAATTGGAGCTCAGTGCCTGAATTAGATGGCAGCTCTATTGCCATATCCATCATTTGGTAGGGCAGAAGCAAAGCTGCCACATCTAACTTATGGGTACAAGTGGTTCCCCATCTGGCCCTGACTGGTTCTTAAAAGCCATATGTACACCCATGCATGATGTTTCACATTCCATTGCTCCCAGTGGTTCTCTAGGACCTGAGGAGCCCACTGAGGCACCTTGCCTATCTTTCCTGGTCCCAGGGACCAGGGCCACTCACCTCTGTGCATTGCTTGGACTCTGTGAGAGCCTCGGAGCTGGGGTTCATAGGAGTTACTGGTTCGCTCAAGAAGCATGCTCTGCAGACACGGCTCTGTCTGCTGTTCTCCGCCTTGAACTCAGAGCACTTCCCACAGATGACCTGCAAGACAGAGGGTATCTATGACCCCCACAAGCTGGGTGGAGGAACAGGAGACACCTAACAGTGTGTTTATCCTGGCCTGAGGCAGGGAGCTGGGAACCCTGTCTGAGGACAGAGATTAAGGGTGTCAAAGATGGCCTTGAATATAAGGACCAATATGGCAGTAAGAAAAGTGAACAAAACTACTATTCACATATTGCTGGCCAGAAGACCCATGCAAATCAAAACCCTAAGGAGAAGCCACTCATGTCCCTCAGATATTATTATTCCCCTAACAGGAAATAACAACTCTGCTGTTGTAGAATATGGAATAGTACAGCTCCCATGGGAAATCATATGGAGGTTCCTCAAAGAGGAAAAGACTCAGACTGAAACTCTAGCTACTTAGTAGGCTGAGACCTGGAGGATCATGGTTTAAAACCAGCCTGTTTAGAAAAGTCTGCAAGATTCTGTCTCCAATTAACCAGCAAAACACTAGACTAGAGGCATGGTTCCGCTATGAACAACAACAACAACAAAAGCCAAATAAGAATATGGGGGCCTGTGTTTAACCCCCTGAACTGGCATTTAAAAAAAAAGAAGTAAGAGGAAGGGAAGTGGGGGGAGAGAATAAAGAAAGAATGACCATATATCCATCAACATCAATGTCATTTCTGGACATTTATTCAAAAGAAGCAAAGGCATGTGTCAGTGGCTCACATCTATAATCCTAGCTACTCAGGAGGCTGAAATCTGAAAATGCATGAGACTCCAATTCACCAGCAAGAAAACAGAAATGGTGCTGTGGTTCAAGTGGTAGAGTGCTAGCCTTGAGTGAAAAAGGTAAAGGACAGTGCCCAGGCCTTGAATTCAAGCCCTAGTACTGGTGCTCATCTCTCTCTCTCTCTCTCTCTCTCTCTCTCTCTCTCTCTTTCTCTCTCTCTCTCTCTCTCTCACACACACACACACACACACACAGAGGAAATGGAAAGGGAAGGGAAGGAAAATACAGGAATGGAAAAGAGAGGAGAGGAAAGGAAAAGAAAAGGCCCATGTACAGCCATGACCACTGCAGCACTATTCACAATAGAAGAGGTGGAGGCACCCAAATGCCTGTCGATGGAGGAATAAGAAAATCATGGATTATCCCCACAGATATTATCCAGATGGGCAGGCACTGAATGTACTTCCCACTGGATTTAAACCAAGGGATGTACCTCAGTGAGTCCTCCAGAGATCTCCCTAGCCTGGATCTCACCCTCCCATCCTACCCAGAGTCCTCTCTCCTCAGGGTATCCTCCTATCAGCTATCCTATCTCTCTTGCCTCAGTATTTCTTCCTCTGTTGCATCTTACTCCTAGCACCTAAATATCCTGTCTCAGCACCTTCCATGCCTCCCTTCTTTCTTCTCTCCTGGGCATTTGCATGCCCTTGGCAGACACTGCCTGAGTTATACCTTGGCCTCCTTGTGACCAACTACAGGATAGCTTTGGTCTTACCACCTGCAAGTCCTTGCAACATGAACTTCCTCTCCTGGATGCTCACCCTTCTTGGACTCTCTCACATATCCTGTAGACTCTTTGTATATTAGGCCCATTCCTGGGCCTGGCCAACTGAGCCTTCCCTCCCCTACCCACTCCCAGCCAGTATACTGGCACATGCTGGCCTGCTCTCCATAATCAGTAAGCTGCTTGGGCTCCTCCCCAACTTCCACCACAACACAGGCTGTGGTAAGTCAGCTCCCACACTACTTCCTCTTCCATTCCTTCCTTATTAGAGATGACAGACATCAATGTCTCCTACCTGCTCTCTACTTGGTGTGATCAATAGAACCCACTGTGCAAATCTAGAAGCACCCTTTTCCACCTGGCCTTGATGGCTTCCCTAAGCCTATGTTCACCTTGGGCCTGGGCCATGGCCTGTGGGTATCCTAGGCTCCCCAACATTTCAATGCCCAATCTACCCAGCATGTCACTCATCCATCCACTCATCCATCCATCCATTTATTTGCCCATCCATCCAACCATCTACTCATACATCCATTCATGGTCCATTAATCATCCGTCTAACGAATCAATCATCTCTCCATCTACCCATCTCTCCATTTATTCCTCCCTGTCTTATCTTATGGCCAGCATGACGAGGTTTTATGGAAAGGTGCAACAAGGAACACCAGGTCAGGCTGCTGGCACCTTTTGGAACAAGTTACAAATCATCTTCATGGTGAGATCTCTCTCCCATCCTCAGAGGGAAAGGTAATTTTGATTGAGAGAGGGGGGAGGGGAGAGAGAGGAGAGAGAGAGAGAGAGCGCGCACGCTTGTACTGAGGCTTGAACTCAGGGCCAGTCCCTTAGCATTTTCACTCAAGGCTAATTCTCTCTACCACCTAAGCCACATCTCTACTTCTGGTTCTTTGCTGGTGAATTAAAGTCTCATGCATTTTCCTGCCTGGACTGGCTGCAAACCATGATCCTCAGATCTCAGCCTCCTCAGTAGCTAGGATGACAGGTTTGATTCACTGGAGCTAGCAATTTTGATATCTTAACCTAAACATATTTGAATAATCAGCAACTTGCTCAGGGAGGTTTCTATGTTCAGGATTAAGAATGACTCAGCAGCCCACTGTCAGGAACAAGGACTTCAGAAACGAGGGAGGAGAAATGGAAATGGCATGAGATTAGGGGACCAGTCAGAGGTATAGCCTTATCACATGGACCCAGTGATCTTCATCACCACTGAAGCACTGGAACAGAAGTCATCAGGATAGTACTTCTGCCCTGACCACAGCTTTACCCTTCTCTCACCTCCTTCACACTATACATAAGAACGCTATCACTCCTTTGTTCTCAAGGGTACTATTCTCAAGGCTAGGGTGCACTGTGGCTCCAAATCTAACACTTTTTCAACTTCAAAGAATATCAGGCACCAGCACCAGAGGTGATCAAAGAAATGCGGTCAGCTTCTGCTTAAAAGGGACAATATCATGTTCAAGGGCATCTGCATCCAAGAGATGAGATCTGGATGCAAGGGTTTGTTTTGTTTTGGTGCCTGTACTGGGGCTTGAACTCAGGGCCTAGGCATTATCCCTTTGCTGTTTCACTCAAGCCACGAGAGCCTCAGGTCCACTTCAAGCTTTTATATTAGCTAACTAGAGAAAAGAATTTCCTACCTGACTTGGCTTTGAACTGCAATCCTCAGATCTCAGCCTCCTGAGTATCTAGGATTACAGCATGAGCCACTGGCACCCAGCTGAACGCACATTTGCCTGTCCACTGTGCAGTTTACAGAGAGGCGAACAGCTGTGTACATGGAAGGCAAACAATGCCTGTTACCCAATGGCAGTGGCTGCTGCCCATCACAAGGACCTGTGAGAACCCAGCAGGTGACTACCTGCCCCTCGTCTGAACAGGTGCTTCCTTCTCATGGCCCACTCACCGCCCCACAGAGTTTGCAGTGATGTCTCCTCTTGGTGATGGAGTTGAAAGTCTCCCCACAACTCTTGCAGTTCTGCTTTTCCTTGTCACGTCTGGTCTTAGAGGATAATTTTCTGGACTCAAACTACAAGGAAGCAAAAAGCTGCTATTAGTTATAAAGCATGTGGTCCACTAGATGTAGAGGAGTGGCTCAAAATTACACAAGTGAGCTGGGCGCTGGTGGCTCATGCCTGTAATCTTAGCTACTCAGCAGGCTGAGAGCTGAGGATCATGGTTCAAAGCCAGCCTGGGCAGAAAAGTCCCGTGAGACTCTTATCTCCAACTGATCACCAGAAAACCAGAAGTAGTGCAGTAGCTCAAGAGGTAGAGCACTTGTCTTGAGCTGAAGAGCTGATAGACAGAGCCCAGGCCCAGAGTTCAAGCCCGACCAAAAAAATAATAATAATTACACAAGTGACACACACTCAAGGCCCAAGTATACTAATGCATAAGGAAAGAAAGAAAAGGGCCAAGCTATCCTGGAAGCCTTAGTATTCCCCAGAGAGATTGTGGGCAAGAGGATCTGGGTGAAGCTGGATGGCAGCTGGTTCATCAAGGTCCATCTGGACTGAGCACAGCAGAACAATGTGGAGCACAAGGCTGAAACGTTTTCTGGTGTGTATAAGAAGCTCACGGGCAAGGATGTTAATTTTGAATTCCCAGAGTTTCAGTTGTAAAGAAAGATGACTAAATAAAATATAATTCATAGTTTAAAAAAAAAAGAAAGAAAAGAAAAGAAAAAAGGACCAAGCTGGCTACACCTTCCCTCCCAGCCCCACCCCTACAGGCCACCCAGAGCATCACACATTATATGGAGAAATGTTCCAAGCAGATCAGGTTCTTTATGTTTAGAACAACTTGACCAATGACTATCTGGCATGTCTGAAAAAATATGAATGAGAGCCAAAGCTGGAGCAAAACCAAGTGTACTACACAGATGGCACATGACACTTGAGGCTTGGATGTCACCATCTGCAGCTCCAGAGTCATAGGGGTTCCAAGATCCTACACACACACACACACACACACACACACACACACACACACACGTTCTGTGTTGGGTACTCAGGGATAGCCTCACTGTGCCCTTGCATACCCCCATGCACAAACATAATGTGTGTACCCATATGCCTACATGTGCCAACTGAACAGAAGCATCTAGTAGGGTTATGTGCTCATATGCTGTCTCCTGTGATACTGCCTAAACACAGGACATTGCTCACCTGGCACTGACTAATTGAGCTTCAGTTTCCCTTACAAGCAGTGCAAGGCCAAACATATCTGTCATCCACTGCTCTGTCATCCACTAGCCAGGATATCCTGTGTGGTTTCTCTGATGCTCAGGGCCACAGTTAAGATTCCAAGCCCACCACATAGCAGGTATGCATCCCAGACTCCATATGCAAACCCTGTGTTCCCCTGGCCTCAGTTCCCCAAGTACCAGCCTTGTCTAGTCCATGCAGGGCTTCTTCTTCATGAGTCTCTCAGGATTGCAAGAGTGGGGGCAGCATGCAGGAGGACACAGGAGCCCAGAGCATGGAAGGGAAAGCAAGAAGAAAGATGACAAGAGAGGGGAAGGAGGCATTTGCTCTGGTCCTGTAGCCTCCATCCTATGCTCACCTTCAGGGTGTCCACCTCCCTTTGTTTCAAGTAAGCAATCCGAGGGTCAAGTTGGTGGGTATGGTTGAGAGTCCGATGGCCCTAACATGTAACTCAGGGAGGGTGGAGGACCCTGGCATGATACTCAATGGGCAGCTCTTCATGGTGCCAGAGAATGCAAGAAGCTATGGCAGCCACCAGAACATCTATGAGGGGCCAGCACAAGAAGATATAGGAAAAGCCTTGATGGGCTGATGTATGTATGTGGCCAAGAACTTGATCTTTGGAACCAATGAGGACCCTATCTCAGACAAAGCTCAAATGGAAGTTCCTGAGGCAGGTAGAACTTCAAGACTGAGGGCAGTACTATGGGTTCCTCTAGCTCCCTTCATCTGGCAAGTGTTTCCTGTTCAGAACAACAGAGCAAAGCCAAACACCCAAAGAAAGTACCCCTCCTGCACCTGATCCTATAATGTTGAAGCTTACAGCACATTGGGGTTCACCTTGATATGGCTTTATCTCCCATCACCCCAGGTTCCCAGTACAGAGGTCTGGTTGGATCTGTAAATTGCAGTTGACCAGCTGGCCAAAGGAGATCTCATTTGAAGTCCAAGAACAGGTCTCCCAGTCAAATATACTATAGATCCTTCTTAGATGAGGTTGTCAGGCAGAGTTGAGCAAAGGAAGGGGACTCAGATTTTTTGTATGCATGTCAGACATGCTGTTCTCAAGTCTGCTTCATGAAGGTGGAAATTAAGGGTTCCATAGTAACTGCCAAGCACCTCCAACGCTGACCTGTAAATTAGTGTCTATAGAAGGCCAACAGGGCAATTCTGATTCTCTTTGACAAGGTTATCTACACAGCATGGAATTGGGAGGACAGCTCAAAAACACAGATTTGGACTCCCATAAATGGCCATGATGAAACTGCATCAGTTAAAGCAGGTAGTAAAGAGACCTAGCCATAGGGATCTACATAGACAAAAGCAATGGGCTTCAGGCATGACCTAGAATCATTTCCACAGGAAGTGGCCAACAGAAGCCTCTCTACTGCTCGCAGGGCCCAAGGATGGACACAGGGTAAGGTCTCATCCAGAAGGACAGCTGCAGCATTGTGAGAAAGCCATTGACCCGAAGTTGGCCAGGGCCGGTACCTCGCTGGCATCTTGGATGAATCTGTATGTCACCCCCTGTAGATCTAGAGCCCTGGGGGTGAGGCAGGAGAGGGAAGCTTTTAGATTCTGGTTTTTGTGTTTCTTTTAAGAGAAACTGGACTTTGGCAAAAAGAGAAAGACTTTGAATCCTGTCAGGTTCCTTGCAAATAGTTCTGGGCTGGACATTCCCCCTCTCTTAGGTTTTTTCCCCCTTCTTTTCTTTCCTTCTCAACACCCCCTCCTGCCCCCCTCCCGCCCACAGGCAGTCCTGAGGTTTGAATTCAGAGTCTTGGGCTTGGTAGGCAAGCACTCTACCATTCAAACCACCCTCAGCAAGTCCCTCTCTTAGGGAAGAGGGGCTTCTGGGACTGTACAGCTGAAGAGATTGCAGCTTTGGAAATTAAACCATTGTATCATGAGTGCATTTGTTTTCCTCTCTGATTATTCTAAGAAAAGGCTTAAATTTGGATTCCTATAGCAAAGACCATTCTTTGGTGCCAGCATTATGATTTGCTTTTGGAGGTGTGAAGGGGATGTGTGGTATTAGGGATTGAACTCAAGGCCTCATGCTTGTTACATAGGTTTCCTACGACTTATGTCACTCCACCAATCCTTTTTGCATTGGTTATTTATGAATAGGGTCTCATTTGAGTCCAAGCTGGCCCAGGATCCTCCTATTTGTGCTTCTCCAAGTAGCTGGGAATAACAGGTAGGTGCCACTGTACACAGTTACTGGTTGAGACAGAACTTTTTTTTTTTTGGTGTGTGTTGGGGGGAGGTTGGGAATGGGAGTTGGGCTGGCCTTGAACTGGGATTCTCTGATCTCTACCTCCCAAGTAGCCAAGATTACAGGCTTGAGCCACTGTGCCTGATCTAAAACTTGCTTTTGAGCATGCCTTTGATGCCCTGAGCACATGGACACCTTCACTTGATTGTTCAGTACCAACTAGCAGATATTCCATGAACCATCAAAATCTCAGCTCAGCTCAGGGAAGGCGCCAATGGGAAGTATGTGCCTTTGTCTACTGCGGGAACAGAGAGACCTCAGGCTATTTGTTGGAGGAAGGACCCACCCCAGCTTGGTGCAGGTGAAGGGACATAGACAAGGAAGCCAGAACTGGATCTGTGACCCCTGATCTCCTGGTGGCTGTGGGATAAATGCTGGAGATCCTGTAGAAGGCTAGACCCCAGGATAGAAGGCAAAGAGAGTGAGGTACATGTAGTATCTAAGTGTGGTCATATTCCCAGGAATTCTGGTGACCAAAGGACATAGTCTGAGGCCTCAACTATGAGGCTCCCATCAAAGAAGTAGGTGTCCAGTAGGCACAGCCCCTGTGTCAAGCATCCAGAAGCTTCCCTGATCTCCCTGCCCAGAGGAAACTGAGGCTTGAGTGGGCAACACTTGCCTGAGCCTTCAATCCAGGGCCAGCTCTGAGCCTGTCTTTCTATAGTGTAAAACATTTTAAAACATGGCCTGTCAGGTTCCTTCCGACTAGAATACTCTAAGCCCTGAACCAATACCCTCCACAATAGGACTCCATCTCCCAAGCAGATATCTTATGCTAAAGGCTCTGAAGCCCACCCTGGTATCACTGTTCCTATAAACTGCTTGACACTTTTTAACCAAAGATCCACCATGGATTCTTGGGACACTGAGGGCCCTTCTCTAGAGCCCACTGGCCCAACCTCAGGAAGAATCACACAGATGAGAATCTGGTAGCTTTCATATCTTGATCTCCTAGTGGCCAGCTAGTGACCAGTGACATTTTCACAAGGCTGAGGACTGCAGGAACTTGCAGTCCACAGTATCATCAGAGATGAGGACCTTCTTTGATCATTCTGGCCAAGGGATATGGGGCTGACTGGGGAGTATTTCATACATATGTGTGTGAGTTACAGAGTACTCAGTACAGAATACTGACCAGGTGATGGTTAATATACCCCTCTGGCAGCTCAATCAGTAGGTGCAGCCATGCACACAATGGGTGCACACTGCTTTCCATACATTCCTAAATGCTCAAGAAAAGGGATTAAAAAACCTTCCTGAGGGTTAGTATAGCCAGCATAATTACACATATGGTCTAGCAATTTGGAAAGTTGTTGATGGGATGATTTGTAATGGGCTGATTCACATAAGGAGCTCCCTAGAACAGGCCATGGGCTTTAGGGATGTGAGAAAGATAGACCAAAAAAATGCAAAGGCCTCAGTCAAGTAGCATCAGGGAGGCCAAGGCTTTGAGGGTGGAGGGAGCAGGAAGTAGGCATGGCCAGATGAAAGCAAGAAGCTATTGGGAGAGTTGACATATTCTTTTCCCCTGCCCTGTTGCCTTGACCCTGGTCACACTTGCTGATTTTTTCTTTCTTGCATATTGATTTATTCTCCTTTATATATATGCCCAAGATATATGTCAAGATAACAAGGTAGGTCTATTTTTAATGTTTAGAGGAACCTACATACTGATTTGCATTTACTAGTTTATGTTCCCACCACTAGTGTATGAGGGTTCCTTTTTCTTTTTTTTTTAATTTAATTTTGTTGTAAAGGTGCTGTAGAGAGGGGTAACCATTATATAAGTAAGATAATGAGTACATTTCTTTTTGAACATTGTTACCCATTCCTTTGGGTTTTTTTCCACTATCCCTACCCCATCCCAATTTTCAATATCAGCCAAATTTCTCCTCTGAGTGCGTGTCTGCTCTTCAGAAGCCCGACAGCAGCACCACCTAAAGAGTCTCTCCTCTTGCCTCTTATCTTGGGGTTCTCTCCTTCCCTTCCTCCTACTCTTGTTCCTGAAAAGCTTTATCTTTTCCCAAAACTTCACAAGCTTTCTCCAGATTGTTCAATGTCTGGGATCCTGAGCTCCACAGACCTGAGAAAGCTCAGGTCATAGAGGAGGAAGCAGAGTACTATCCAGGCCCACCCATGGCTTTTGGCACTTTGGCCATGGCTCCATTCTATCCCTAAAGGGGGTAGTTGTCACACACTGACAATCCAGGTCACCACAGGAATGAATGATGATTCCATAGGAATCTCCTGCTTTCTACTCCAGGCTGACTCTGTAACAGCAGACAGTCCTTTTCCCTACCTCTAGGCCAGCTCACCTGACCACCCTGAGCCTACCCTCTCCTCTTAAATGGGGCTACGTGACAGAACTCAAAGGCAGCAACATAACTTAACAGGGCTTGTGTTCACAGAGAGCTGGAGGGCTGGAATTTATGATCAGGCAGAGTCATCAGCTGCTCTAGGACAGGTGGTCCACACCTGTCCCAAATGCAGAGTGACCTGGGCTGTGTGTGAGAGACAGAGAGACAGAGACAGAGGGAAAGAGAGGAACAGAGAGACAGGGAAATCTAGAAGCAGGCAGAGGAGGGATAGAAACAAAGACAGACAGACTGGCAGACAGAGAACATACAACAGACAGAAGCAGAGAAGAGAGAAGACAGAGAGAAAGAAAGGAAAGAGAAATCATGGATATAGGCACAGCAAACAAAGATAAAGTCAGAATGAGAGACAGAGACAAGGAGAAAAGAGAGGGAGACAGAGAACAAGCATGGGGGAAAGGAGGCAAATGTGGGGAAGAGGATGTCTTGCTGAACCCTGAGGTGTTCTATGGAGACGACTCCAGAGGGAGAAAGAGCTCGTGTCAGGGAGGGACCAAGAGAACCTTGAGCCAGCTGCTGCTCAGGGTGGTCCTGGGCTCCTGGTCACCACCAGTGCTGGCAAGTGTGGGGCCCCATAGCTAACAATGTGGCTCAAGTACTGGAGTTCACTGTGTCCTCAGCCTAGTTTACCTCCCCAGATAAAGTAAGGGAGAAGGGCTTCCTCACAGGTCCCGCACTGAGCCCCTGGAGAACGGGTGTGTGAACACAGGCAGCTGTGAGGGGAAGGGTGGGAGATGGCATGGTCTCAAGACAGACAAGCACTCAGAGAGGTGAGGAGACCATGTTCTTATCAGCTCCTGGTAAGCTTCTGGGGTGAGGAATAAACCTCTTTTCTTTGCATTTCTGGGGTGTTTATGAGAACCTAGCACCTCATTATGATGTGTTTTATCAAGACATGATTCATGCAAAGCAAGAGCATAATGTTCACAGGGAGAGCTCAGAGAATTCCTCCATGGGCACACAGCTAAGAGAGGACCACCAACAGCTCCCCCATGACCTCCATCAAGAGGCTCCAGTCATGACCAGGCTGGCCCCCAAATCACCAACACCTGACCTCAGGCATAGCCTCACATTTGAACACCATGCCCTGAGCAACTGGGGTGGGGAGTGGGGGAAGGGACAGGTTGACCCTTCAGCCGTCAACCTCCAGGTCACCCTGGTCAGATCCCTCCCTGGTACCTCCTTATCCCTGCTGACCATTGACGGAGAAGGGTCACTCACCCCTGTGGCATTCCCACTGCCGTCAGTCACCCCCACAGGCTCCACAGAACTTGCACTCACCACCTAGAAAGGAACCCAGAAGCTGAGTGTAAGATGGCTTCCTGGCCATATATGCTGGGCAGTGGTGAGGGAGGGTTTCTCAAGGTAGCACCCCAGTGCATTGAGGGCACAGTTCAGGGATTCTGAGGAGATGCTGTGCTTCCTGAGCTGAAGACATCTGGCAGAATGAGCATTTCCCAGCTAATGGTGGGCACTCCCAGGTGAGATCTTTTGTGACCCACCTTGATCAGAGGCTCTAGATCACACCTGTAGCACAGGGAGGAGGTCTCTGTGGGTTCCCTCCTCATCCTTCAGGGGGTCTTTGTGGAGAGTCTGAAGACCCTCATGTCTGCAGGGCTCAGCCTACTAACAACAGCATGACATCCAGTTTAACGCCTTCTGTCCCTAGGTCACCTCCACTTAGGGAGCACAACGGAACCTTCCTTCCCAGGAACAGTGCTAAGTTTTCCTCTAAAATACGTCCAGGAAGCAGGGGATGGGGGGAAACAAATAGATGTGATGCAAATGTCAGGTGATCAGTAGACCTTGTGAGGGCCAGGAAGACAGGGCTAACTGGAGGGAGGTATAGAGCTGCTGGGTTTGGCTGAACAAGGTAGTTCTTCCACATGTACCCAATAAGAGTGGGGGGCCACCACTGAACACTGAAAACAGCATGGGCCCAGGTGAACACCTCTTCCAAGATGTCTTTGCTATGGTTTCAGACTCTCTTGACACTGTCCCAGAAATAGCCATTCAGGACCCTTCCTTGCACTGAGCAGAGATCAACATCCACATCCAATTCTCTCTCCCTGACTTCACAGAAGGAGGGAGAAGAGGAAGGGCCAGGGTCGGTCTGGGGCCTCAGCCTCATCTTGTCCTGCACGGATACTCAATGGAGACCCTGCAGCCTACCTCCCCACATGGCTCCAGGACAGCTCCATAAAAGACAAGGGATAAGATGCCCTGGGCTCTGATTTGACATCCCTCAGAACAGAGAGATTGGGGGAGATAATACTACTGCAGAAAGAGAGAGAGAGAGAGAGAGAGAGAGAGTTGTCTGCCATTACTGGATATCCTAGGCTGGCCAAAGTAACATGCAGGAAGGGTACTGTGGTACCCATGTCCCTGAGCCAGAGTTGGTGGCCCTGATGCCCAGCAGGCTGCAGTGGCTACTCAGTAAAAGTAGTCAAGGTGCCCACCCACAAACCTGCGCCTCTCTCCCTAGCAGGCAGCCATCGCCCTTCTTCCCTGACCCAGGCTGCTGACTCACAGGTGAGTCTGGCGACAAGGTGGACTCCTCATCCTGGCTGCAGGCACCACTGAAAGCTCTGAAGGTCTCACTGTTCTGCTTGTGCTTCTCGATGGTGGCTTGAATGACCTGGACACAGAGCAAAGCCACAGGGCTGTCAGAGAATAAGGTGGGGGGCGGGGGGAGAGAGAGGAGGGGCACTGACCCTGCCTCTGTCCTGAGCATGAGGTCCTGGCACCGATGGAGCCTCTGGCCATCTTCGTTCTTCTGAATGAGTGATGTGGGTAAGAGGATCTGCTTCAGGGAGACACTTAGCTCATGGCCCTCTCAGCTCATTCATATCTATTCTTTTGTTTTTAATGGGGAAGGGCTCTTAGAGGTGATGTGGCATTTGGAGGTGCAAATGCAAGCATGTACTGTCTCCCTTCTGGGTAGGATCCAGGGACAGCTATTAGCAGGCCTGGAGGAGAAGAGCTTAGGGTCACCCCTGTACTCTTGGCTCTAACATGAAATGGACATACTGCTCAGTGACTTGGGAATTTGGTTACTTTAAAACTTTAGAAGTTTCACCTGAATCCATTCTTTCTTCTCTTCTTCTGTCCTATAAAAACAAAAATTGTATTTTATCAATCCCATCGTGGCTACTCACTATAAACCCCTAAGGCCTATAGCACATACTTAGCCATTCACAGGTCAATGCTAGAAGGTTGGCTTGCAGGGGGAAGGGTTCAAAACACTGTGGCCAGGTGGGGTTACACTTGCTTGCTATATAGTGGAGGTCAGTGCTTGCCTGAACCCTAGTGGGCAACTCTAAAGCTTTCACACTACTGATGGCCAAATTTCCCACATACCACCAGTGAGAGCACAGGCCTGCCTTTAGAAGGTAATGTGACAAAAGGCACTGAAATATGGTGGCTATTGAAATTATGTACTATAATATATAAAAGAGGCATTACATATTATCATATCATGTATGTTACATGTTATATATCATATATTTTATATTTCTATGTATACGTAATATATTTCCATACACACACAGAAATTTCTGGAGTATATATGGAATGGTTAAAAGTGTCTACCAGACCTGGGAACAAGAAGTAGGCAAAGGCTTAATTTTTCATTGACCTCCCCTTGTTACTGTGAAATGTTGAACAATGAATAAATAAATACATAAAAACATATTGATAGGTTATTCCATTTAAGAAAAGAAGCCATCTGTTGAAACCTCAGATCAAAGACATTCACTGAGCATCAGACTAGAAAAGGCCTGTGCCATACCGAGTCTGAAGTTCCAGGGACCTTCTTCTTCCCTTTATAGTGAACGTAGGTGCTGCATTTGGCTTGACAATATCCTGTACCTGCAGAGCAAAACGGGGAACAAAACATAAGCAAACACAAACCAGTCACCTTAGTTGCTCCTCAATGACAACCTTACATTGTTGAGTTGGAGATTTTTCTCTGAGGAGGTGTCAGAGGCAACTTTCGGCCTTCTGGTCTGCAAGAAAGAGAAACTGAGGTTTGGAGTCATGGTAGCTAATGCTGGTTGCTGCTTAAGCTGGTCCAGAGCTGGAACTTCTTATCCCCTGTATTTGGAACGCTACTGAGAAAACCCATTCCTCAAGTCTCTTCTAGAAGTTTAAAAGTTGCTTCCAGCTACCCATTGCCAGTCTTTCCCCACTGGCACAATGGGCACTGCTTCCCAGCAGCACCACCTCCCTCCTTAGGCCGGATGAGGATCTTATGAAAGAGCCAGGAGATCCTTAGCCACTCTGCAGACATCTGAGCCTATGTGGACAGCCACAGCCTAAGTTTTAAGACTTAAATGGTAAAATGTGTACCCAGACTGAGCTGACAAAAAGGATCACTTATTTGTAGGTTCTCAGATTGTCTCTGCTACCTCAGCATAAGACCACAGAGCATAGTATCAAAACTTGGGAACCCTGTGACCTTCACAGTGATCCTTATTAGAATCCTCATCCCTGATCAGCCAACTGGTGGCTTTAGGGAAATAGAGACTCTGGACACAGCCCAGAATCACAGGTTGAGAATTGCATTAACACATCAGATTCATTAAAACAGGACTAACTCCTTAGGGAGAAACACTGAAAAAGATGTCTTCTGACTATAGAAAAAAATAATATATATTTTCTGTAGTCATTGCTTGCAATTGATGTGTGCATGCGTGCGTGCGTGTGTGCGTGCGTGCGTGTGCGTGTGTGTGTGTTGCAGCTTAAGCTCATGGCCTGTGCTGTCTCTTCACTTTTTCACTCAAGGCTGGAACCCTATCACTTGAGTCACAGCTCTTCTATCTTTTTGGTGGTTAATTGGTGTCTTTCCTGCCCAGACTGTCTTAGAATGGAAATCCTCAGATGTCTGCCTCCTGAGTAGCTAAGATTACAGATGTGAGCCACTAGTGCCTGGATGTAATTGTCTTTTATAACCAGTACCAGGACTTTTTTCATTGTCATTTAAGCAAATTTTTAATATTTTCTATTAGCCAATATTTATATTTTTCCCCAGAGCTGAGGACTGAACTCAGGGTCTTGCACTTGCCAGGCAAGTGCTCTTCCACTGAGCTAAATCCCCAACCTCTTATCCAATATTTCTGAAGCACTCATCAATTCAAAGCCCTTCCCACAATGGACAAAATCCATTCCAGTTCCTACTGCTACTATGAGACACAGAACAGGCTCCTAGATGGGGCGGGGGAGGATATCAAAGATGTAAAGGTCATTTGCAAACCATCCTCTGGCTTTGAGAGTGCAGCAGAGGAGAAAGCTTGGAGTCCAGGGTCTAGGCTGGGCAAACAGGCTCACACTCCACACTTAATTTATCCCTGCAACTCAAGCATCACTTTAAGGTATTGCAATGGATCCTGAGTCCCAGCCTCATTAAATGACAACACACACACACACACACACACGCACACACACACACACACATATCCCTTGAAGCTATTCACTTCCTAACAACCTCATCTCATGAGGCTGGCAGGGACCTCGAAGATGAATCAAGCCAGAGAGAAAGGAATTCTGACTCTCCAGGCCAGGGCACCAGGGCTGAGATGGTATAAGTTCTCAGAGTTGGTAGCCAGAAACACTGCTTGGGGTCCCTTCATGCAGGTATGAGAGAGGGGTGGGGAATGGGGTTCACCTACCTGGAGATCAGAGATGTCCATTTTCTCCCGGACACTGAACTTCTGGCCCATGAGCCGCAGTTTAGGCACACAGTAGAGGACCATGCTGTTGAACTGCAAGGACAGCTTAGTGAGGCCACAGTGAGTTCCTCACAGGGGACCATTGTAAGCTTTCCTTTAAGGTTGTAGAATAAAATATAGGGTTTTTTAAATCTGTTTGTTTTATGCCAGTAGTGGGGCTTGAACTCAGAACCTCTCACTCTCCTTCAACTTTTATGCTCAAGGCTGGTACTCTGTGACTTGAGTCATGCTCCATCTCCATCTTGCTAGTGGTTAATTGGAGATGAGTCTCATGCCTTTCCTGCCCAGGTTGGTTTGGAACCATGATCCTCAGATCTTAGCTTCCTGGGTAGCTAGAAGAAAAGGTGTTAGTCACCAGCACCTGGCATAAAATGTACTTTTAAACAGATGTATACAATCATTTTAGCTATGAATATATCTTTTAGAGAGCTGACTGGACAATAGCTTAATTTTCATCTAGTTCTTAGTCTTCAGTTTGTTTACTGTGCATGTGCACTAAATGTGTGCTAAGAAAACACAACTTTTGAATGAACCACTGACACATGTGCAACTATGGATGAATCTCTCAAATTCATTTATCTAGCAAAAGAAGCCAGAGCTGTCTCATAGTGTTTATGCAGTGCTATGAAAAAATGTAGAACTATAAACATATCAAAATGAACAGAGGCTAGGAGGGTGCTTTCTAAGCAAAGGAGGACCTGGGTTTGATCCCTAATGGCACAAAAAGAAGGAGAGAGACAAGAAAGAGGAAGAAGAGGAGAAAGAGGAAGAGGAGAAGGAAGAAGAGTAGGAGGAAGAAAAAGAAGAAAGAAGAGAAAGAGAAGGAAGGGGAAAAGAAAAAGGGAGAAAATGAAGAGGAGGAGGAAGAAGAAAGAAGAGAAAGAAAAGGAAAGGAGGAAGAGGAGGAGGAGGAGGAAGCTGGGGAGAGGCAGGGGAAGGAGAAGAGAGAGCCCAACTCACCAAGAAGAGGTGACGGTCCTGAGCTGTGCCGTTCTTGGCTGACAGCTTCTGAATTTGGCCCTCCTTTATCAGCTCATTGGCTGGGTTGACAATGTCCTCTTCTCCACCCAGCTGCTCGTACACCTCCAGGAGCTTGTGCATTTTTTCCTTTAAGAGACATAGAACTTTGGCAGGTGTATGGTCACAGGGTGACCAAAGGCCTTCAGGGTCTGCTGGGGACCTAGGGGCAAGCTAAATCTTGCCCTGTGACTGCAACCCAGAACCCCAACAGGACAAGGATCCTGCTGACATTGAAAATGAAGGGAAAATGTGGTGACATGTGAGTTGGTTATGAAATGACTAGAGGTTCATCATGTAGTGAATAACAACAACAGTAATAGTAACAACAAATAACAACTACCTCCATTGCTATGTGTCAGGTGCTTTTCTACACAATATGTATTTAATTCTGATAAGATGGGTTCTATTGTTAGTCTAATTTGTAGAAAAGACAAAGAAAGGTCCATGGAACAGCCATGACTCAGACTGGGCCAATACATATGTCACAGTCCTAGGCCATGATGACTAGATAGATGGTTATGTGGCCAGCCTGTATCCTAAGATTTGATGGGACAGGGGCAGCAACTCCCAGTCCCAGCTCTGAGCTAGAAGCAACACAAAAGAAGGCAGACTGGAGCCTGGAGGGACCTCAACACTAGCAATGTAGTCTGTATCTGTATGCACTGTGCATCCACACCTCCCATCATTGGACTTGAGTGATCTCAGCCTGTACAAGCAAGCAGCTTAGGCTGGCCCTCTCTGTCTCAAGAATGGATACAGGTGGATACAAGTAGACCAAACAAACAGTATAGGATGTGAGAGTCATGAATGAGAACTGACATGGTGACAGGTCCTGCTCTTGGCACATGGTGTGCAAGCGATTCTTCCTCCTCCCACCTCCTCCTCCTCCTCTTCCTCTACTGTACTGGTCTTGGGGCTTGACTTCAGGGCCTGGGCACCATCCCTGGCCTGGGCACTATGTTTGAACTTTTTTCTCAAGTCTGTTGCTCTACCACTTAATCCACAACTCTACTTCTGGCTTTTTTGGTGGTTTAACTGCCCAAGCTGACTTCAAACCATAATCTTCAGATCTCAGCTTCCTATGTGGCTAGGATTACAGGTATGAGCTCCCAGCACCCAGACTGCAAGTGACTCTTTTAATCCCCAATGAAGCCTTACAAGGCAGCTTCCTCACATGTCTCAATTTCAAAGATGGGGAAACTAAGGTACAGAATGCTAAGTAACTGACCAAAGGTCACAGGTGAAGTGAGGAACAGGCCTGTTCAGTTGCAGACAGATCTCTGACCATCCTTGGGACAGCTCCCTTGGAGAGGATGTTCACTGATGTGGTAAGGTGCTTGCTGGTGAAGCTCACTTGCTCCCACTCTCCCTGCCCAACTTAGAAAATGCTCACAGCAGTTGCACTCACCATTTTCCTAATGGCCGCATTGGAGTGGTTGGCAGCTGTGGAGATGAGCTCCAGAGACCCTGCAGGAGGAGAGCCCAATCAGCCTGGGCATGTGGTGACTTCATATGGTCTCACCCAAGAGGCTGACTCTGGAGCTTCAGGCAGCTACCCACACTGAGAAGGTGTTGTCCCTGCACTTGACCTTTCTTGAAGGTCCCCAGACACACTACAGGCCCAGCCTAGAGAAGGGGTAGGATTCAATGCCCTGTGGACATAGTCCCTTTGCTGGGCTGCTAGGGCCACTACCAAATGGGATCCTCCACCAGCCCCCTCCTGCATAGATCCCTGTCCTGTGCTGCCAGCCACATTTATCTATGCCCTTGGGCTATGAATGTGTGTTCTCTGCTGACCTCACAGGGCCCATTGCTGGGGCTTAAGCTTTGGATGGGGCCAGGCAGCAGCACCTTCCTCAGAACCAATGTCTCCTTCACACTTCAGACACACAATGTATTTCTCTACTTTCAAAAACTCTAAGTTATTTCCTGACAATTAGGCAATTAAGTATTTTCTCTCTCTCCTTTCTCTCTCCCCCTCCATCTCCCCTTCTGCCTTCCCCTCCCCCCTGCAGCCTTCCTTCCTTCTGCCCGGCCCCCCGCTTTTCTTTTCTGTGCCGGTCCTGGGGCTTGAACTCAGGGCCTGGGTGTTGTCCCTGAGTTTTTTTGCTCAAGGTTAGTGCTCTACCATTTGAGCCACAGCTCTACTTCTGGTTTTTTGGTGGTTAATTGGAGATAAGATTCTCATGACTCTCCTGCCTAGGCTGGCTTCAAATAGAGATCTTTGGATCTCTGCCTCCTGAGTAACTAGGTTATATGTATAAGCCACTGGAGTCTTGCTCATTTCTCTCTTTTTAGCTCTGTCCCTCTTCCCTGTCTCAGTCTTTATGTATCTCTTTTTCTCAACTCTCTATTTGTCTTTCCTTTCCCTTTCTCTACATCTTCTCTCCTTCCTTCCCCCCTTCATTCTCTCCCCTCTTCTCCCTGCTTATGTCAGCATTCTGGGGATCTTTCAGGCTTGGGGCCACTCACTCTCTGCATCCTTTCGATCTGGGGCATCTCTGGGGAGCCTCTTCAGATAGTCCTTGAGCAGCAGCTCATAGCGGGGGACCCTCTGCACAGGCTCCAGCATGTGGTGTTGCAGTGTCAAATTTCCACACACCTCTTGTTTCTGGAGGGAGAGAGAGCGCGAGAGTGAGAGAGAGAGAGAAAGGAGAGAGAGAGAGAGAGAGAAAGTTTTGGTACCTGAGGACACACACATGGACACTGTCCCTGAGCCTGCTTCTGGCCACCACAACCCCAGGAGGCCGGTAAAGCTGCCTACTATTTTTTTTTTTTTTTTGCGGTCGTGGGGCCTGAACTCTGGACCTGGGCACTGTCCCTCAGCTCTTCAGCTCAAGGCTAGCGCTCTACCACTTGAGCCACAGCACCACTTCTGCTTTTTCTGCTTATGTGGTGCTGAGGAATCGAACCCAGGGCCTCATGCATGCAAGGCACCTTCCCAGCCCCAAAGCTGCCTACTTTTAAAGACATCTTCTACAGCTGGAGAAACTGAGGCTCAGAGAGGCTGAAGGATGAAGCCCTGACTCGGACAGGTTGGCTCTGGCCCCAGATCTCTCCCTTCACCCACATCCTCATTGAGAACACACATGCCAGGATGATGCCCTTCCTCTAGAGTGGTTTCTCCCTATCCTGATCAACCAGGGCCTGAGCTCGGCTTCACTGTCCTTCCTCAAATGGAACCAAGCTTCACTCACTCTCCCTTTAGGGAATCAGGACTAGAAGCTGTCCTAAGATGTCTTTCTGCAAATAAACTCAAGTGGGATGATCTTTCTGTGCTGAGACCCTGGTGATCCTGGCCTTACCCAGCACAGCTCATGGCTCCCACACCTCTCCTCTTTCTGGATCACAGATCCTCTTTTCTAATGCTTCACCTCCTCCTCACTGCTGCTGAGAAGTCCAGACCTTGATCCATCTGGCAAACCCCAAACACACATGTGCTGCTGCCATCACTTCATTGCCTCTGTCTCCCCTTGCATTTTCTTGCCTACACCACCTTATTTCCTCCTTCCTCATGTGATCACTGGCAGTTCAGCTGAGTGGAGCTGATGCTTCTGTTGCCCTGTCCACCTACTGCCAGCCTCTGGCAGCAGCAACAGGTCCTCTGCCCCTTGTACTTGCCTCAGGGACCAGAACAAAACAACTTTCAGCTCAGATGAGCTCAAAAATGCCTAGGAGCCAGGCACTTGGTGGCTAATGCCTGTAATGTTAGCTATTCAAGAGGATGAGATCTGAGGACTGTAGTTTGAAGTCAGCTCAGGTAAGAAAGTCCGTGGGACTCCGGTCTCCAATTTATCAGCAAAAAGCTGGAAAGAAGGTGTGGTTCAAGTGGTGGAATACCAGCTTTGAGTATAAGAGCTAAGGGATAGTGACCAGGCCCTAACTTCAAGCCCTAGGACCAGCACACACACACACACACACACACACCTTGGATACAACAGGACTAGAAATGCCAATCAAAACAATTACTTCATGGGAGAATCATCAAAGGATGAGGAGGCACAGGATATTTAATGATCTCAAAGCATCTCCTTTGCAAGAAACTTATGAATAAGGGAAAAACACCTTACTCCAGGGAAATGCACAAAGGGCCTGAACCAAATTATGGCCAAATCCAAATTGAAGGAAAGTTAACCAATAACTGAGCAGGACAGAGGCCTGTTCTAGATGGAGAGACAAATGGTATTGGTCTTAGGTTGAGTTATAGACCAAAAAAAATAAAAAAGAACATTATTGAGACAACTGTTGACATCTGAATGTGGGCTGTGGAACAGGTAATTCTATGACATCAATTCAAAATTCCTCATTTTGATCATTGTGCATGTGAGATAACTGCCTCCTTCTTATTTATTGATAAACAGCTATAGTATCTGTACTTTAGTTTCAAAAAAACTAAAAACTGATACTTATGTGTGCAGGGAGGATGGTAAACAGGATAGATGTTATCTGCTTATAACACTATGTTATTATTGCCACTCCTCTGTAAATGCTTGAAGTTTTGTTTTCAGTTTAAACAATTTTTAAATCTGTTTTGGATTAAACAAAGGAAATACTCAGGCCAGGTGGGTAGCTCATGCCTGTAATCCTAGCTGCTCAGGAGGCTGAGATCTGAGGATTATAGTTTGAAGCCAATCCAGGCAGCAAAGTCTGTGACTTTATGTCTAATTAACCCCTAAAGGCCAGAAGTGGATGTATGGCTCAAGTGGTAGATCACTTACCCAGAGTGAAAAAGCTAAGGGACAATGTCTAGGTCCCAAGTTCAAGCTCTAGTACCAGCACAAAGAAAATTTTAAAAAATGAGAAAAAGAAGCCTTCATCAGTCATTGCATATGCAAACATCATTCAATCCTATTTTGTCTGTGGCAGGGCTTCACAGCCTCAACCTGTGGATCACTAATGTGGATGGTAAAATATTCCCAGCTCATGCCAGGAGCAACATCAAAGTCAACAGATATGGCCTAAGTCTCTAGGAGCAAAGTCTGTATAAAATGACTGAGCTGGGCTGAGACTAAGGTGTAGAATTTTCCCAATGCCTCCCAGCTCAGTGCTCAAAGTCAGCTAGCAACTGGCTGTGATTATAGACCATGTCTGCCAACAAGTGTCCCCAGCACCACCCATAGCTTAGGACAATTTAGTGCTGGTACAGATATTGCAGACAATTGTCAGACCAATCTTGACAGTGTTTTGTCACCTATGGGCCTGCTAGACCCAAGAGTCTGGTCTGCCCCATCTGAACAGGGGACAGCTACCTAGGCCAGACCAAGCACTTGTCACTTCAGAAGAGAGATGCTCATTGAGCACACATATATCACCATGCTGTGAAGCTGTGTGACGTAGTTTACTGTCACAGCATCTCCTGGGAAACAGACAAAAATCCCAAAGTACAGCCTCCCTCATCCTCATCCTGCTTGATAGGCAACCTGGGAAGAAAACTCAAATACACAACTCAAGTTTGTATGTGTTTTCTGTTCTTTCTCAAAATAACCAAATAAATTTAAATTGGCCATTGCAAATTGAATTTTATTTATTTATTTATTCATTTATCTATGTTGATCATGGGGCTTGAACTTGGGGCCTGGGCTCTGTCCCTGAGCTCTTTCGCTCAAGGCTAACACTCTACCACTTTGAACCACAGCGCAACTTTCAGGTTTTGAGTGATTAATTGGAGATAAGAGTCTCACAGGGACTTTGCTGCCTGGGCTGGCTTCAAACCACAATTCTCAAATATCAGCCTCCTGAGTAGCTAGGATTACAGGCATGAGCCACTGGCACCCTATTTTATTTTTGTGCTGGTACTGGGGCTTGAACTCAGGACCAAGGCATGCACCCTTAGCTTTTTCACTCAAGACTACCACAGTTGAGCCATACCTCCAGTTCCTGACCATTGCAAATTTAACAAAAGTTCAACTTCCTCAATCATAGCATTATAATGACAATGATAAAGATGAAAATGAAGGAAGAAGAGAAGGAGGGGGAGGGGAAAAGAGAAGGAAAAGAAAAGCAGCAGACTTAAACATTAGGACTAGAAAGAACACTCAGGCTGCATGGGGCTTGGATGAGGGAGGTGCTAGGGTAGCTCCTGACAATAATTTCCCTTCATAATTTATGGTGCCTTGGCTGTTGATAAGATTGCAATGGGAACATATTCCTGGGAAAGAAACCATGTTGCAGCTTGTATTTTGGAAAATCAGGCTTTGTTCTTGTTTCCTCCATAGGGCACACAACCACAGCACGTGAGCTGTCCTAGGATGCTCTATCCTCAAAGAGATTCTATTCTGCTGGTCCCTATCTGTTTCCCAGATCTGGGTGTCACTGCAGATAGAGAAGACTGAAACTGCTCTCTCAGATACAGCCTGAACAGACTCCCAGGTGGGTGAGGAGAAGGTGAAGCTTACTGAGGTTGATCATAACTACTTCATGGGAGCAGCTGGGATAAAAGTCAGCAGAGAGGGAGGGGGGCAAAGGGAGACAAAAGGGCTCAAGTAAGTTTATATTTATCTCTCCTCTCTGTGACCTCACACTGCTCCTGAGTTGGAGGTGCTTGGAAGCCATGGGTAATCTAATGATAGGTAGAAAAATATGAGGGGAGCTGGGCATCGGTGGCTCATGCCTGTAATCCTAGCTACTCAGGAGGCTGAGATCTGAGTATTGCAGTACAAAGCCAGCCCGGGCAGGAAAGTCCATGAGATTCTTATCTCCAATAAACCACTAGAAAACCAGAAGTGACGCTGTGGCTCAAGTGGTAGAGTGCTCAACTTGAGCTGAAGAGCACAAGGACAGCACCCAAGCCCAGAGTTCAAGCCCCATGACCAACCAAAAAAAAAAAGATATGAGGGGTCACCTCACATCTAGGCCCTATCTCCACATCGTCTACAGAGGGCACTCATAGCCTGAGTCCATTAAAATACAGACAGAGTGCAGGAAGAGTATGTATGTATATGTAAGGGTGTGCATGTGAGTGCATGAATGTATGGCACAGCCACTCTGTTGTGAATCTGGGCTCTTTTGTCTTTGTTTTTGATTGTGGAGATTGAACTTTAGGCCTGGGCTCTCTGTTCCTGGGCTCTTCAGTGCAAGGTGAATGCTCTATCACTTGAGCCACAGCATCATTTCTGGGTTGTTGTTTTGTTCTGGTGGTTAACTGGAGATAAGAGTTTCACAGACTTTCCTGCCCTGGCTGGCTTTGAACCATGATCCTCAGATCTGAACCTTCTGAGTAGCTAGGATTATGTGAACCACCAGGCCCCAGAAGATCTGAGCTCTTTCTACATTCTACAATCCAGCTGAAAATTACATGGGAAAGCCAGGAACTGGTAGCTCAGACCTGTAATCCTAGCAACTCAGAAAGCTGAGACTTAAGCATCATGATTTGAAGCCAACTTGAGCAGAAAAGTCTAAGACTTATCTCCAATTAAGCAGCAAAAGGCTGGAAATGGAGTTGTGGCACATGTGGTACAACACCAGCTATACCAAAGAAGAGTACAGGCCCTGAGTTTAAGCCCCAGTACTGGACACACACACACACACACACACACACACACACACACACACACACACGTATATTAGAATAGCTTTTACCATTTTTAAATAAAGACATAAAATTAGAGGGAAAATATAATTTATATCATCTTTGCCAGTACAAAATGCATTTATAGGCTTTTTCAAAAACATTCCTTCTTTCCTTTCTTTTGTGTACGTGTGTGTGTGCACGTGCGCGCGCGCACCTGCACACACCTGTTCTGGTATTTGAACTTGGGGCCTCAAGTTCTTACTCAGCTTGCTTACTCACTTGAGCCATACCTTCACTTTCAGCTTTTTTTGGTGCTTAATTGGAGATAAATATGCCACGAACTTTCCTGTCTGAGCTGGCTTCAAACTGTAGTCTTCAGATCTCATGGCTAGGATTACAGGCATGACCACCAGCACAGCACCTCACTGCATTCATCTTCTTTTTTTTTTTCTGTCAGTCGTGGGGCTTGAACTCTGGGCTTGGGCACTGTCCCTGAGCTCTTCGGCTTAAGGCGAGCGCTTTACCGCTAGAGCCACAGTGCCACTTCCAGTTTTCTAGTGGTTTATTGGAGATAAGAGTCTCATGGACTTACCTGCCCAGGCTGGCTTTGAACCGTGATCTTCAGATCTCAGCCTCCTGAGTCGCTAGGATTACAGGCGTGAGCCATTTTTTTAAATTGTGATTAAGTGATTACATAAATTTCACAAATTTCACAGTATTGTGAGATAGTGATACTTAGTTAAAGTCACAAACACATTTTAACCTTCATGGGATAAATTGTCTTTATCGTAGTCTATAAAGTTTGTGAATTCTATGAGCTTTGACAATACAGTTATTTCTTCCCCACTGGGTGATATGTACATTTCTTTCCTCTTGCATAGTGTCAGCTGTTCCCTTTTTCCCCCTCATTCCCTCCCTCCCATTGCTGCCATTGAGTTGTTTAGTTCGTTTTGATCAATGTCCAGTGCAGCTAATGGTTCCTGCTGTTGTATATTTTCCCTTCTTTCCCTCTGTTTCTGTATCTTCCTCCTAGTTTCCCTCAGATGTGCACATATGTGATCAGTAGCATGGGATCATTTAGTAATGATACGACCAGATGAGTGGAGGTCCTTTGTTTCTCAGGTCTTGTTTACTTTGTTGTATCTCCTTACATGAACCAATTTTTTTAAGATGTGCTTTTGCTGGAAACCAGTGGCTTGTGCAGATAATCATAGCTACTCAAGAGATCTGAGAATTGTGGTTTGAGGGTAGTTCAGGCAGAAAAGTCTATAAGACTCTTCTCTCCAATTAACCAGCAAAAAAGTCAGAGATGTGGTTCAAGTGGTAGAGAGTCAGCCTTGACTAAAAGAGCCAAGTGAGAGAATGAGTTCAAACCCCAGTACTAGCAGAAACAACAGAAAAGTAATGCAAATAATTTAAAATAAAAATTTTATATGTCTACTATCAACATAAGATTTTTTAATGATCATTAGGGGAAATACAACTCGTAACAAGAATGATAGATAATACTTTACATTAATATAAAAATCTTGTACATCAATTTTTATAAGACCAACAGGCAGGAGATAAGAGTAACAAGAATTGAGAACAGGCTGTTTGCAAACAAATAAAAGATCAGACAGACAAATAGAAAGAAAGGATCAGTCTGGGTTCTGGTGGCTCACACCTGTACTCCTAACTACTCAGGAGGCTGAGATCTGAGAATTGCAGTTTGAAGCAAGCCAGGCAGGAAAGTCTGTGAGACTCTTACCTCAAATTAAGCACCAAAAATAAAACCTGGAAGTAGAGCTGTGGCACAAGTGGTAAAACACTAGTCTTGAACACCCATTCCCTGAATTCAAGCCCAGGAAGACTGGCACCAAAAACATAAAAGGACATGAAAGATCAATATGACATTCTACCATAAAATCACAGACTGTCCTTGAATCTAGGTTCTATGAAATAATTATTTGTCCTGCTGGATCTTGGTTTTCTCTCTGCCATATCTGCAATGGAATTGATGACTCGTCTCTGGTAGTTAATTTGTGAGGATCAAAGCATCAATCAAGCACCATGACCTATCTAATAATTGTCCCAATTTCTCTATGTTCCCAAATTTCAATAGTCACTTATTACTTTTGGGGGAGAGGGACTTAATCCCAAGGACTTGAGTAGAATTTTCCTTGTGGCTGGTACTCTACAACTTGAGCCATGCCACTACTTCTGCTTTTTCCTTTGTTTGTTTTTCAGGCTAATTGGAAATAAAAGGATTCATCTGCCCAGTCTAGTTGTGAACTGAGATTCTTAGATCTCAAGTCTCCTAAGTAGTTAGAATTATGGGCATGAGCCACTGGCAGTTGGCTCTCATATGTTACTTTTTAGAATAAAATATATGGTTTTAAAACATACACACACACTCACACACACACACTAGTGTGCTACCCATGAGGATATCTGCCATGCCCCTGCATACACCCACCTGGATGCTGTGAATTACATCCTTAAATGGCAGTGAGCGCTGTGTCCATGTGCTCACCAGCCCCATTGCCCGGTCGAAGTTCTTGACATACTCGCCATACATCTTCAGGAATGGAGCCAGCTTCTGCAAGATGTCCCCAAGCCGGGGATTTGTGTCCCTTTTGAAGGAGTGAGGTTATCAGAAAAACATCCAGAAGAAATGGGGTTCCCATTTACCAAGGGGCAGTTGGTTGCTAAGGGCAATGCCTGACTCAGTACTATATACTGATGGGCTCATTGGGCACCCTCTCTAAGCCTTTTGTCTTCTGGGGTAGAAAACACTGTTACTGGAAATAAAAGGATAAATGTCTATTAAGCAACTGAAGAACAGGCTGAAGATCAGTGCTCAAAACAAGAGACATTAGTAATGGATCCCCTAGAGTGATGGGCCATAGTCATCAAAAAGGATGAAATACCACTTCACACCTTGTAAGTGTGTAAAGATCAGAAATGACCACTCTAAGCCAATGGCCCATGCCTATAATCCTAGCTACTCAGAAGGCTGAAGATCTGAAAAGTGCAGTTCCAAGACAGTCCATGCAGACAAATCAAAGAGACTTCTATCTTCAGTTAACCATCAAAAAGCTAGAGTAGAGGCATGGATCAAGTAATAGAACACTAGCCTTGAGCAGAAAAAGCCAAATGAGAAGGTGAGGTCCTAAGTTCAAACTCATTACTGGCACAAAAGAAGGAAAAAAAGAAAGAGAAGAAGGAAAAGAAATGAAAAGAGAAGAGAAAAAAGAAAAGGAAGGAAAGGAAAGGAGAAGAGCAGAGAAAAGAAAGGAAAAAGCAAGACTGCTGGGCATTGATGGCTCACATTTGTAATCCTAGCTACTCAGGAAGCTGAGATCTGAGGATCCTGGTTCAAAGCTAGCCTGGGCAGGAAAGTCTGTGAGGCTCTTATCTCCAATTAACCACCAGAATAAATACCAGAAGTGGAGCTATGGCTCAAAATGCTAGAGTATTAACCTTGAACAGAAGAGCTCAGGACACCACACAGACCCTGAGTTCAAACCCCACAACCAACAAAAAAAGAAAAAAGATAGGAAGGAAGAAAGGAAGGAAGGAGGGAAGGAGGGAAGGAGAAAAAGCAATGACTGTTCTATTCAATCTGCCAAAGCTACGAGGAGAGTAATACAAATAGTAAAAGAACATTACTGCTTTGAACAAGGCTGTGTATTCAAGTTCCAAGAGTGAAAAAACATAGTATCGTATCAGTCTTTGAACTTAATCTCTTTGTTGGAGATCTATCCTAAGTTAATAGTCAAAATCAAAGATAAAAGACACAGTCATAAAGCCATCACTGTGGGGACATGCTTTTTCACATGTGCAACAACAGGACAGCAGATAAGTGGCCACATTCTTGTATCCTTGTCATTAAAGAGGCTGAGAGGGCCACATGTGCACTTACAGTTGAATCCCTGGGGCCTGGAAGGGAAAAGCTTGCCTCTACTAGGATCAGACTTCTTCATCAAGAGGGCTATATCCAGCCTTGGGGACAGAGTGTAACCTGTTCTGCAGCTGACCCTGTCATTTTGAAGAGTCACATGTGGGCAAGCCCTGAGTCACAGGTGAAAAGAAAAAAAAAAGCAAAACAAAACAAAAACCCTAGCCAAGCCCTTACGGGACACCAAGGAAAAGTCAGGCCCAGGAAGGAAGCGAAAAGCAGAAGTGCTAGGTTTCTCACAGTAAGGGGAGGCACATAATGAGAATTAGCAGATTAGTGGCTTCTCTTGTGTCATTTCATTAATTGTGGTTTGCAGCCAAGACATCCCTTTGCTAAGAATGGGCCATTGGATTTCATTTTCAAAACATGACTTTTACCAGGTGCCAGTGGCTCATAAATATAATCCTAACTACTAAGGAGGCTAAGGATCAAAGTTCAAAGCTAGACTGAGCAGGAAAGTTGGTTAGACTCTTATCTCCAAATAACCTGCATCAAAAAGCCAAACATGGAGCTGTGGCTCAGATGGTAGGATACCAGCCTTGAGCAGAAAAAGCTAAGATAGTGCCCAGGTCCTGAGCTCAAGCCTCAGTACCAGTACAAAAATAAAAGAAAAAGAAAAAGAATGGAGCCAGATGCCTGTGGCTCACACCTGTAATCCTAGCAACTCAGGAGGCTGAGATCTGAGGATCATGGTTCAAAGCCAGCCTAAGCAAAAAACCACTAGAAAATCAGAAGTGGCACTGTGGCTCAAGAGGTAGAGCACTCACCTTGAGCTGAAGAGCACAGGGACAGCGCTCAGGCCCAGAGTTCAAGCCCCACAACCGAGAAAAGGAAAAAAAAATGGGCAGAGAAGCAGGAGAAAGGTAGAAAGAGGAGGAGCTGGGTTCTGTTGTTGGGGAGAAAATGTCTATCTTGTTTAAAGCAAAGGTACAATATAAAGTAGGAGAGAAAAATCCATCCAACCAGCACTATTACTTTCTTGTCTTGGGTTTCTCAACCCTCATTTAAATTTCAGGAAGTCCTGAGTGGGTGTTAAAATCTTCAAGTTCTATATCAACTTCCTCCAAAGCTATGGCGTAGAAACACGAAATGGCTGGTCAAAGTTCCCCATTAGGAAGGGTAGGGCTGGGATTGGACCCAGGCCACCATAAGACAGTACACACAGGCTCTTGCCTGGCTTTCAAGCTCCTGAACTCCAGGATTTGGGGCCCTTGGGTGGCTACTCACCACTCCTCTGTGATTCGTGTCTGCAGCTCGGGTAGTAGGAACTGCCCATGGAAGCGGTAGATGGAGGAGATGTTAGAGAAGATGCCCGTGGTAACTTCCTGAGGGATGCCTGCTTCTGTCAGCTGGGTGCAGAAAACCTAGGTATATAGAAGTCCCTGAGGGCTGGGAATGTGGCTTAGTGGTAGAGTGCTTGTCTAGCATGCATGAAGCCCTGGGTTTGATTCCTCAGCACCAAAAACAGAAAATGCTGCAAGTGGAGCTGTGGCTCAAGTACCAGAATGCTTACCTTGAGCAAAAGAAGTTCAGGAACAATGCCCAGGCCCTGAGTTCAAGCTCCAAGACTGGCAAAAAAAAAGTCCCTGAGTGTGATCCACCATGGACATCTGCTCCAGATGGCACTTAGACACAGGGTACAAGAACACCTTATGTTTTCTTAACGAATGTCAGAGTCAATGTCCTCCCTTGTCATCAAACTGGTTCAAACCACTTCATGGTCTTATCACAAGTGTATTATGGCTAAGGACTATAGGGAAGGCAGAAGCAGAACCTGGGGAAGGACACATCATTTTCCCTTATCCCTCTCTGGACCTTGGTCAAGACTTCTTTCTCTGGCTTGTAAGATTCAAGCAGAAATAACCCACTCTGTCTAAGCCTAGTTTCATTTATTTATTTATTTATTTTTCTGTAGTACTGGTTTTGAACTCAGGGCCTCTGGCTTGTTAGGTAAGCACTCTACCACTTGGTCCATATTCCTATTACCTTTTTTTTTTTTGTGAACATACAATTAGATGGGCAAGATAATGCATACATTTCTTATCAAGCATTGCAGCCTCCTCCTTTGTTTACCCTTCACATCCCTTCCCAGCCTCCCCCACCCACCCAATCCTCCCGCTCCCCCCCCCACCAAAGTTGTAAAGTTCGTTTTCGACATGACAACTTGTACTTCTCATTGTTGCAATGGGTCCACCAGTATCCTTAAATGACTTTCCCATTACCTTTTGATTTTATTATTTTTCAGACAAAGGTCTTATGCTTTTTGTCCAGGCTGGCCTCAGATCATGGTCATCCTACCTATGCTCCTTGTATAGCTGGGATTATGCATACTACCTCCATCTTCTTTGTTGAGAGAGGGTCTTCCTAACATTTCCCCCAGGCTATCCTTGAACCACAAGCCAACTCACTTCCATGAGCCTTCTGAATAGATGGCATTACAGGCTTGAACTACTGTACTTGGCTACCAAGCCTGGTTTCCATTGGTAAATTTTTTCTCTTGTTGTTTCATGGACAGGAATAAACAGCACCCATGGTCTCAACTATTTATACAGAGAAATACCTCGCAACCATTTATGTACTCAGATAGTCTAGTCACCAAGACAAAATGTCCCAAAGATTGTAAGATAAGACCTTTGCCCCAGAACCACAAGCACTTTAAAAAAAATACACATTTCTTAATCAGACTTACATTACTCCAACTATAATATCTAATTAATGCTAAGGATGAGCACAGACTTTGCCCTGAAACTTCCCATTGGAATTCTGAGAGTGGACAGAGGTAAGCCCTGAGCTGTATGGATTACCTGGTCCAATAAGTGCAGCCGCTTCACATAGGTCTCTTCGGTGTGCAGGAGTTCCTGGGCAATCTGGAGCAGCTTCTGACAGTGGAAGCATTGCAGAGAGAAAGGAAACAGCTCAATAGGGGGAAATGAGCACCCAGCCAGGGCTACCCACAGTGTGCCAAGGTGACCAGGGAATGTGGGAGGCCAGAGGAGGCTGCTGATGCTCAGTTCTCATAGATGCTATTTCCATGGAACATTCTGGAAAAAAAATTCAAGTTTTTTTTCCCCAGTGCTCCAAAGCAACTACAGCCAGATGACGCTTTCTTAAGCTTTGACTGCAGAGCATCAAAAGCTATTATAGGACTTAAAATGTAGCTCAGTGGCACAGCATCTGCTTAGTATGCTCAAGGTCCTAGACTACATCCCCAGCAATACAAACACACACACACACACTCACGCATCTTCATGAAATCCCAACAAACTTCTACAAGGCAGTAAAAGCATTTCTAAGGAGGAAATTTTAAAAAGAAGAGCTGGGGATATACCACAGCGGTAGATTATGTGCCTAGAATTCATAAAAACCAATGTTCAGAAAAAAAAGAAAAAAAGTCTGAGCCAACAACATAACTTTACTCCTGATACTCGAAAAAGAAGAGCAAGCAAAGGCCAAAGCTAGAAGAAAGAATGAAGGAAGATCAGAACAGAAATAAATGAAATAGAGTATGGAAAAAGATTTAAAAAATTAACCATCCCATAATTGATATTGTTAAAGATCAACAAATTGACAAATTTTTAGCCAGGTTAATTCAGAAAAAAAGAGAGTAGACTCAAATAAGGAAAATCAGAAATGAAAGAGGGATCATTACAATCAATGCTACAGAAATGAAGAAGTTGTAAGAGTATTGTTAATATGTCAACAGAATGTATAACCTAGAAGAATAAATAAATGCTCAGAAACTCATAGTCTCTAAGATTGAATCACGGCAATTTAGAATCTGAGAAAATCATTAATGAACAAGGACATTTAATTAGTAATAAAAAAAAACTTCACAATGAAGGAAAGTCCACAGCCAAATGGTTTCACTTGTGGATTCTATAAAGCCCTTAACGACAAATTAGGGCTGAGAAGATGACTCAGTGGTAGAGTGCTTGCCTCGCATGTATGAGGCCTTGGGGTCCATTCCTCAGCACCAACCACATAAACAGAAAAAGCCGGAAGTGGTACTATGGCTCAAGTGGTAGAGAGCTAGCCTGAGCTGAAGAGCTGAGAGACAGTGCCCAGGCCCACAGTTCAAGCCCCACGACCCGCAAAAAAAAAAAAAAAGACAAATTAACACCAATGTTCCTAAAACTCTTCCCAGAAAAACTGAAGAGGAAAAATACTTCCAAGCTCATTCAATAAGGCCAGCATTATCCTGACACCAAAGACATTACAACTGAAGAAAACCTCATACTAATATTCTGGATGAATATTGGTACAAAATTTCTGGAAAAAAAACCACTAGGAAAGCATACACCATGATCACCAAGTTCAGATTCTTTCTGGAATACAATTAAAGCTTAAAATATAAAAAACAGTCAATATAATATACCATATTAGCAGAATGATCAAAACCCGATTATAATATACCATGTTAACAGAATGATCAAAAACCATATTAGCTGTATAATCAAAACTTTATGGTCATCTCAATGGATAGTGAAGATACATTTAAAAAGACTGAACACCCTTTTGTGATTAAAAATAAAACCAACAATTCAACAAACTAGGCATAAAAGGAAACAACCTCAATATAATAAATGGAAGCTCATAGCAAATACACTTAATGATGAAGGACCAAAAGCTTTTCCTAAGATCAAGGACAAGACAAGGATGTCTGCGATTGTCAACTGTATTCATGTAGTACTAGAAGTCCTAGACAGAACAATAAAGTAAAAATATCTAAACAAAGCAGAACATCCCAAATGGAAAAAAGAAGTAATATTAACACTCTTTCTCTCTTTCACTTCCTGGCCTTGAGGAAAGTGGTTTTGTTCTTCATATGCTACTGACAAGATGTGTCTCCATAAACCCAAAGTCAATGGGTCCAACTAATTGTGGACTGAAACCTCTAAAACTGTGAGGAAAAAAAGAACTTTCTCTATGTAATTGTAACTCATTTGTGCAACTTTTTTTTTTGCCAGTCCTGGGACTTGAACTCAGGGCCTGAGCACTGTCCTTGAGCTTCTTTTGCTCAAGGCTAAACACTCTACCACTTGAGCCACTTCCACCACAGTGCTACTTTTGGCCTTTTCTGTTTATGGTACTGAGGAATCGAACCCAGGGCTTCATGCATGCTAGGCAAGCACTAACCCACCTTCCCAGCCCACAACTTTTTAATAATAACAAAGAATTAAAAAAATAAATAAATACAATGAACTTTCTCCCTTCACATGTTGACTAGCTCAGGTATTTGTAGTGACAGAAGGCTGACTGAAACAAGGGAAGGAAATATGGGGTGCCAGGCTCCTGGACCAATGCTTGCTTGTGGTAGACAGTGTTCTAACCAGAAGCCCCAATGTGGAGAAGACAACCCATTCCCACTGGGAAAAGAGCACTGCCATCTTCCTACCACAGATGCAGGGACATGGGACTTCCACAGACCAGGAATAGGGGAGCTATAGTTTTCTCATCTTATAGGAAGCTGAGAGATATGACTCAGTCCTAGTGGAGCTCACCTCCAAGAGCCTGGGGAGATGGGTGCCTGGTGTTATCTCTACAGGGCATCTTGACATTTGGGCCTTGCTGATCCCTCTCCCCCAGGGCTGGCCTATTCCTAGAGATAATCAAAGATTTGCCTTTGATGGTACCATACAAATGCAAACCAATCAACTCCAACTGCAGATCCCTCCCATCACCTTTTTGGTGCTGTCCTACTCTAGATGTGTACCTGCCTTCTATCTATGTGCCCTCATCCCCCGAAGGCCGGGTAGCATTCAACCAAGGAAAGCCCTCTGCCTTACAGCTGGCTGAAATTACTCAAGCTAGCAGTGTTGAGCCTGTTCACCCTGACTCACCAGTTCCTTCCTGTTTAAACCACAACAAGACTCCGCCCACAAGTTGACCCTCCCTCCTTCCTTCCCCTTGCTTGCCCACTGGCCCAGCTACTTCCTTATGTGGCTTCTTGTGGCAGGATGGCCTTTCCTGGGAACTGTGAGCATCAAGCTATGCTTTCCCTGCCAATTGTTGACAGGGACATTGGTTGGCTGGCTGGCTATGCCTAAATAATATTACTTGTATTAAACCAGAGCTCAGCCTTCCCTCTGTGAAGCTCACTGTGGACGGGCCACTGGCTGTCCCTTACCTGACAGGCCTGTCCCCTGAGCCTACTGTGTTAATATCTCTATAACCATGAAGATCCAGTAGGCCCAGCACATCAGGACATGTCCCCACATTCAAAGGAACACAGAGCACCCAGCCTGGGCCATGCCCTACGGATGATCTGACAACCGTTAAGTCTCTAGGGCTCAATCTCTCCATTTAAAAACCAGGAAGTTCTCAAGCTACCTTCATCCAAAAGCCTTACAGAAAACAATGGGTAGCTTCAGGCAGCCATCATCTCCTCTTGGGGTAGAGGTGTGCCTACCAAAAACATAGGGAAACTGAGGCTCAGGATTGAGGTTTCCTCGCAGTCTCCATCCTAGAAGTCTTCCCCTTGTGTGGAGCAAGTCTGTGTGCTCCATTTCTATGGGGTCAACCACCCCAAACCTCAAACTCCTTCAGGGAGAGCTCTGAATTTAGGCCCTGGAATAGAAGAAGCCTACCTGGGCCTGGCCAATGTCGTCCGTCTTCAGGGGGGTGTTCTCAGCATCAGGGTCCTCGTCCACATCATTGTTGTCCTCCTCTCGGAGTGAATTCTGTGGTGTCTCACTGTCCATGGCTGTTTCAGGGTGCAGCCCCAGCATGGTGGGGTCTGGGGGGACCTCACTGCCCTCCTCACAGGGGAAGTGCTCACCAGCAACGCTGGAGGATGGGCTGTCAATTCCACTGTCCCGGTTGGGAATCTTCAGGCCAAGATCTAGAAGGCAGCTCCCTGCTGCGCCCTGGCTGCCAAGTTCCCCTTGGTAGGTGCTGGGCCTAATGGGGAGGACTTGGGGCTTCCCCAGGGAGGAGTTGCTAGGCCCAGCATTGGATACTTCTACAGTGGTGATGGCTTCTGGTGGGGATGAGGATCCCCCATCTAATTCCATCCTCAGCGCTGAACTCTAGGAGACTGGCCAGGAGCTTCCTGTCAGGAAAAAATGAGTTTACCTCAGTATAGCACCCCAAACCAGCCCCCTAAAGAAAGTCAACCTGTTAGAGTTAGGCTTTGAAATATCAACACCTTGATGGACTTCAGTTGGGGTCCTATTCAGACAGGCTTTGAGGGAATGGAAAATGGAAAAATATGTTACTTTAAAAGTATTTTTCCTACCAAAAGTAATCCTCATCTGGGTTTGGCAGCTCTTGCCTATAATCCCACCTACTTAGGAGGCAGAGATCTGAAGGATTATGGTTGGAGGCCAACCTAGGGGAAAGTTCATAAGATCCTATCTCAGTCAATAGCTAGGCCTGCTGGTATGTGCCTGTAATCCCAGCTATGAAGAATGAATAGGAGGATCAAAGTCCAGACTGGCCCTTGTTAAAATAATGAGACCCTGTCCCTCAAATAAATACAAAAAGGGCCGAGGGTGTGGCTTAAATGGTAGGACAGCTGTCTAGCTAGTGGGAATACCTGGGTTTAGCTTCAGTACACTACTTAATAAGTAATAAGTAAATAACCCACTACCACTAAAAGTGTAGCAATCTCATGGTGTCATATGAGGCTATTTGTTGCTCAATACATTCAAAATATATGCACAAATTAATGGAAGTAGTGAGAACACAGTAGCTTCTATTTATAACACCCTTCTGGGGCCCATGGTCTTTCTTGTGAGTATAATAGTCCCAGGAAATGAGGTCCTTCAGTGTCCCAAGTTTGAGATGTAAGATACCACCTTACATTTGCATATCAGTCTCTCTTGGCCCACTGGGGATTTGCCCACTGAACAAGGGGCAAGTCCAAGTCTCAATGCCTTGTACATAGAATTCATCAGGCAGTTCTGTGGTGAGATCAGACCAGAAGAGAGAATGACAGTCCCTGAAATCTTGCTCTTGATCCCAAGATTCAACCACAGAGAAAACAAGGGGCTGCAGGTGATAACAACTTACCTGATGCTGTCCCTCTCTCCAATGAAGATATTGACAGTGACTGGCCTGCTTCTTTTGAGCCTCCAGCAGAGGTTGGAAAGATTTCTTGGAAATCTCTTGCTCAAGCTAGTTTGAAGTGGAGCTGTTTAGAAGGTCCTAGAAAAAAAAAAAAAAGGAGAGTGGTGATCAGAGCAGCTCAAGGCCCCCAGTTTTAAAAGGAAGGCAGCCCCTCACCACAGAGCGGCAGATCCTAGCTAGAGAACAGACAACCTCAGCCTCCGTAACAACACACCCAGCCCAAGAAGGGCAAGGTAACACCAGCGTCCAATACAGGGGCTCACATACAGTTGGCTCACGCACACACTCACCCTCAGATATTCTTCTATCCAACTTCTTTATGTGTTCCCTTTCTCGCCGCTAAGCAGCACAAACAACAGTTAATGCTGACTGATGGCTTCTTACACTCACAGGAGATACAGCTTTCTGTTCCTGGGCTGCACCTGGCTGCCTCCAGGGCCTCTAGGAAATGCATTACAGGGCTGGGTGCTGGGTCAGCTCGGTGGTGTCATCCCCTACTCCCCACTGCCACCACCCTCAGGGCTGCGGAAGTCCACAGGCCCCTGAACAAGGCTCCTCCCACTCTCACAGAATCCTGGGAGCTTACCTTCCAGTGGTAAAACTACCTCTGAGTGGACCTTTTTTTTTTTTTTCAAAATGACTCCAAATGGACATTTACCATTTGCTACTGCCACATGCTTAACAAGCTTAATGGGCAGAAACATTCAGATTTCCAAACAGAAAATACATGTTTTTCTGCATTCTTCTCATAGTATTGGAGATAAACTCAAGTTTCCAGAAGTTAGACGTGGCACAGCCAATAAGAGTACATGGGCGGAATGTGAGCTGGACTCAGCTTTGGTGTAGTCAGGAGCAGCAGGACAGAGATGGGTCCGACCACACCTAGACTCAGGGAGGGTGTAGGGAAATTATACTCCAAGAAAGAAAAGCAGAAATGTGATTTTCTTTTTTACTACCTGAAGAGGTCGCACACTAACAAACAACAGTTTACAAGACATTTTAGACCAGATTGAAAAGCCCTGTGATTCTTGAGAGATAAGAACCATTTCTGGGCCAAGAAGCAGGGAAGGGAAACCCTTGGGATTTTTCAAATTGAAAAGACAGAGCTAGGAGTCTGGAGGACAAAGGAAACGGAAGTGCACAGGACAGAGCTCTAGAAAGAAGAGATCTACAGAGAAAGAACCTGGAGATCTGCAAAGGGGTGTTAGGAAACCACATGAGGATGGAGGTGGAAAAAAATCCCTGACAGGACGAAAGGGAGCACTCCCTGATGTTCAGCGAGGACAAAGTTGTGCATATTCCACCATCCAGCCTGAAAAGCCTGCAGGTGTACAGGGCATTGAGTCCAGTACTCAAGAAGGTCTTGACTTAGTAGTAAGGTATAATTAATCCTCCAGTGGCCCACCATTCCACCTAAAAAGTCTTAACAGAAAGGCCAAACTGTTAACAACTTAATTACACCCCTGAGGACAACTAAAATACAAAATACACTTAAAGGAATACAGAAATACCCAGCACTGGCGAGGTGCAGTGCTCATGTCTGTAATCTGGGCTACTTGGGAGGCAGCAACCAAGAGGATGAATGTTTGAGGCCAGCCTGGGCAAAATGTTAGCAAGATCTTCATTTCAACTGAGAGGCTGGGTATAACAATGCACACCTGTGATTGAAGCTAAATGAGAGCTGATGGGAAGTGGCGCTGTGGCTTAAGTGGTAGAGCGCTAGCCTTGAGCTGAAGAGCGCAGGGACAGCACCCAGGCCCAGAGTTCAAGCCCCATGACCCACAAAAAAAAAAAAAAAAAGGATGATGGTCGCAGGCCAGCCTGGCAAGACCTTATCTAAAAGTAACCTAAAAAGCAAAAAGGGCTAGGGGTGTGGCCTAAGTAGTACTGTTCTTGTCTAGCAAATTAAGGTCCCGAGTTCAAATGCCAGTATCAATAATAATAATAATAATAATAATTCAATATCCAGCAAGGTAAAGTCACAATGTCTGACATACAATCAAAAATTACCAGGTACAAAGGAACATTTAAATATCCCTTAATAAAAAAAAAAAACCTCAGTCAATTGAATTTGTCCCATAACTGACACAGATATTGGATATAGCAGACAGGGCATATGAAAACATTATAGCTAGGTGTCAGTGGCTCACACCTCTATAATCCTAGCTACTCAGGAGACTGAGATCTGAAGATCACAGTTTGAAGCCGGCCTGGACAGAAAAGTCTGTGAGAATCTTATCTCCAATTAATCACCAAAAAGCCAGAAGTGAAGCTGTAGCTTAAGTGCGGTAGATCCACCAGCCTTGAATTAAAAAAATGCTAAGGAGTGGCACCCAGGTCCTGAGTTCAAGCCCCAGTGCTGGCAAAAAGTATGACAGAATGGTTGCAGACCATAGTTGCTGCTGGTCCCTGCTTGGGTTCTTTTTTGGCTTTGCTTCTAAAATCTACCAAAGCCATGCTAGCAGTGAGCAAGGCCCAGTGTATTTTGGCCATGTCCTGGTGGGCTGACCAAAGGCCAGTCAATGAACACCCACAATTGTCCAGAAGCACTGAATACTCACCATGGAGCCTCAGCCTGAGAAGGACAGCGGCAGGTGTGGTCAAGGGTTTCCATCTTCTCTGCTAAGAACATGGTAGGGCTTCTCAGACCATGACATTGAGTCAGTAGAACCTCAGAGCAGGACAGGGTCACCAGGGCAAGCTGAGGGGAAGAAAAGGAGACGTAATATTGTGCCTGTGTACTGAGACATCTTGATCAGATACTGGCAAATTCAGCTCACACTACCACCCCTAAAACTTAACTGCATAGGTTAATATGAAGAATTAAACAAACTGCTTAACCAGTGTAAAACATACTGTTAAAAATTGTATGAGTCTGAAACAGCATCTTCATCTATGGAAGCTAGACCTAAAATACCTGGGGACATGATAAAATTATACAGGACTCCAGGAATTCACACACAGTGAGACCAAAGGAGGACACTTTTAGGGGAGGAACACAAAAGTGAAATGCCTATGTGCCTCTGATCATATAAAATAATGTTCATCAAAATGAACTTCAGGAAATGGAAACAAGAGGTTTTTTCCTTTGTTGTTTTTGTCTTCTGTTCTTTTTGTCTTGTTTGTTCATTTATCTATCTTTGGAAGGGCACAGAAATGGAGGGACGACTTTGGAAAAACCGCAACAAAATTTGTATTAGCTGTATATTTTTCATAAAGCTTTGAAATAAATGACTATATATCTTTAAAAAAAGAAATGGAGGGACAAAGGATGAACAAATGCAGCAGTGGTACTCTCTAGATACTATGTTGAAAAAGAACTATTCAGCTTGTGGGTGGGGACAGGAGGGAAAATCTTGGAGAGAGCAAGGGAAGGGGTGTCCAAAAAGAAATGTACTCATACCTGATTTATGGAACCATAGCTCCTCTAAATACCACCTTTGTAATAACAATATTAAAAAATGTATGAGTCTGTTACAACTTGGATCTTACATGTTCCCTGAAGGCATAGGTATTAAGAGCTGGGTACCCAGGAACTTTGTGGAGGTGTTAGAATCTCAGGAGGTGAGGTCTAGTGGGAAGTTTTTAGGTCATTGGGGCATGCCCTTGAAAGGGATAGTAAGACACTACTCCTTCCTCATCTCTCTCGTTTTGCTTCCTGGCAAAACGATGGTGCCACCATAGCCCAAAGCAATAGGGCTAAATGCCCACAAATGGAAACTTCTGAAAGCATTAACCTTTCCTCCTTATAAGATGATATATTTCGTGTATTTGTTATGGCAACAACAACTGACTAACACACATAGATAAGCAAAACAAGGTCTACTCATACAATGGAATACTGTTCATCCTTTAAAAAGGAAGGAAATTTGGACAACTGCTATATGGGTGTCCTCTGAAGACACTATTTTGAATGAAATAAGCCAGGCACAAAAAGACAAAGTCTGCGTCATCATACTCATTGAGGTCTCTGATCAAATTCATAGAGAAAAAAATAGTAGAGTAATGGCAGCCAGAGGCTGGAAGAGGGGGAAGCAGAGAGTTAGTATTTAATAGGGAACTGAATTTATTTATTTATTTATTTATTTATTTATTTATTTATTTAGTGGCACTGGAGATTGAACTCAGAGCTCCATGTTTTTCAAAGCACTTGGGCCATGCCTCTAGCTAATCTCTGCTTCTTTTTCTCTTTTTATTTCATGGAGAAGTAGTATAAACATAAACATTACAGCCATGAATAAAATATCACCATCTGCTGTCATTCTTAAAAGGCAAACAAAAATTCAACCTTCAAAATAAAATAGATGTGGGATATGGCAGGTAGAATCCCGGAGGGCAGGCACACCGTACTCACTCTAAAATTATTTGAGCCTGGACATATATTTGAAGATCTTCAGAACAAAATATTAGGGGGCTGGGAAGGTGGCTCAGTGGTAGAGCGCTTGCCTTGCATGCCTGAGGCCCTGTGTTCGATTCCTCAGCACCACCTAAGCAAAAAGGAAAAGGCCAGAAGTGGCACTGTGGCTCAAGTGGTAGAGTGCTAGCCTTGAGCTGAAGAGCTGAGGGACAGCGCCCAGGCCCAGAGTTCAGGCCCCA